TGGCGCTCCAGAAGAAGAGGGCCGCCCCAGGCGCAGACGAACTCCCCGTTTTCTCTTAAAGCCATGACCTCAGTCCACTCAGGCCACAGACAGCAGGTTGAGCAGCCTGCAGGTAAAGAGGATGAGTACAGAAAACGAAAATAATGTGGTCACCGGGAAATAATCAGACAAATAAATAGACAAAGTTTAATGAGAGAGGAAAGAAACGGGTCTAATGTAAACAGCCTCCTCTGGCTGTGTAATAATTAGCGCATTTGCAAATAGTGTCTGAATAATGTTGGAGATGTTATTTCAAATATTGCTTTTTGCTTTTTTTCCTTTGTTTTCCAAATACAGTTTTTTCACATCTTTTCAAAATAAGACGGCTGTATTAAAATAAACTTCAAAATCAGTGTAGCAAAAGTTCTACAGTTAAAAATGCATTTACTGCAGTGGCTCGCTGATATACACAGCACGGCATGTGTAGAATTCACAGTATAAAACATGCAGTAAACAGAGTTGTGTAGATATTTCAGATAGTTCATAATCTCCTCATATGAGGAGGATGTTTGAGGAGATTACCCAGCAAACATGGTTCGAACTGCGACGTCGCGTCCCTGGTCAGGACAGGTTGGGGTACGACGCCGATGTAGAGCGATGGATGTAGATGTTGTTTCCGCATAGAACAAAAGAGACGTCGGCTCGTCTCTTAAACAGTGAGAAATGAATATTAAGTTATTGCAAAGATGGAATGATAGCCATTTTTAACTAATATGTGGTTGTGACCAGATATCCACATGAATATTTCCGTGGATTTTACATCGTCACGTACTCACAGAGTCGTGCTCCTGGAATCTTTTTAAATGTTTTAAATAAACATCACTTTTAAGTTGTTTTCAGTTTCGTAAATCTGAATTTCTTTTAGTTTTTTTGTTGGTGAATTTAGCAAATTGGACAATTATTCCCTCTCTGTCTGCGACGTCGACGTTATAAAGTCGTGAGGTCACGAGTTTGAGTCACCACTAAGGTTTTTTCTTTTCTTCTCATGCTTTTCTTGAGAGAATTTAATAAATAGACAGGAAAACTGAATTTTTAAACACAAACTTTCTCGTGCTTGAAAATCTAACAAGGACGTTCGACAAGAACCTCGTTTATATTAGGAAGTTGGTGCTGATGTGAAGGTAACATCATTGATATCGCTTTCATTCTGGAACTATGACTATCGTTCGAGAAAAGACCGCCAGGCGTTTAAATGTTTGCTGGGTACTCTGTAGTAGAAATAGGTACGCTAGAAGAGCACAAAAGCGCTCCTCAGATGCCTTTGTAACCATAGACGTCAAACATACACCCTAGAATATATGACAACAGTAATGGAGGTTTTATTAATCTGTCGTCCTGTGAATTTCTATACGTCTGTCCAGATGGTGAGCTGGTGATGGGCTTGTCAGAGCTGTGCGGCGACGAGTGTCCTCAGCAGCTGTTCGGATGTCCTTTCTCTCTCCCGCCCATAGACGGCCTGCAGGAATCTGGCTCAGATAGTTGTTGTCCTTCAGCTCCAGTCCAGCTCCAGTCTCAGCTCTTTGCTGAGACCTCCCAGTGGGCCTGCGGGAACTCTCCGGCCCTCCACGACAACCACGGGCTCCCAAACTCTTGTTTCTTTCAGCTCCACATGCGTGGTGAACATTTACTTTCTGAGGGCCCTGACTGTGGCACGGTGAGCGGTGGGGCCAGCGCTTCCCACATGCTGCAGGTGGAATTTAGCCTGCCGTCCTCTTCATCGTCCTCAACCGCTGTCCTCCCGTCACACTTCCAGGCATTCGGCAGTTTGCTTCACCCCTCACCCGTCCAGCATCCTCGCTCTCTCACACAGTGAAGGGGACACGGAGATATCGAAGCGGTACTCTGTGTAATTTGCCCTGAGTGTTTTTGGTTGGTAGTGATCTTTTACAGCGGGGTGAAAAAGAAACGAGAGGACAAAAAGTGCGTTAATGCAACTTGCTTGAAAACAGATGGACCTATTACCTGTTAGCAGGTGACTCGTGTGCCTCTTCTTAAACGGAGGCGCTCGAATCCTACGCCCATTGTGGAATGATGACTGTGTTAATCACTACTTTCAGGCATTGATTATGTGCTGCTGTCCATTATTCCTGAAATTGATTATTGACAATGTTGACCACTGCTGCTTTGTTTTCTTATTTATCAGAACAGACTAATTTGACTGCTGCTCAGATTTGGTTTTTCCCCCCAGATTCTTCCCGTGAATACAGACAACATGACTGTTTTTATGCTCCTCATATCAGTCAGCATTTTCACTGCTGCAGCTATTTCAGATCTGCTATTGGACTGTACCTCACCTGATGTAATAGGGGGTTGGGGGGGTCTGACTACAGAGTAAAATCTGTCCACTTATACAACATAGAATAGTTTATTTAAACATTAACTTAAAATGTTTTCTCCTTTCTTGGCCCTACATCTCTGCTTTGTCTTTATTCTACACAAAAGTTCATCTTTCTTAAGATTTAAAAACAATATGAACACCTTAAAGGAAAAAAGTTCTACGGTTGATTTGAATATGCAGCAATGTAGGAGCCTAATGGGGCGCAATAATTTCCTGTTTTATTGTATTTTATTTCTTTTTTAATTTCCTTTCTTTTTGCTTCTGTGGAAATTTTCCTCTTTTTTTTCCCACCACTGAAAATGTATATAGATTTATAAAGGTGCAGGGTTTTGTCATCAGTCACGATCACCATTTCTCGTATGATGAATAACTGCTACCATGACGAGCCTGTTTCATATAATGGGCTTAAAAATGACTGAAATATAAAACTTTACGTGCTAAGCTGCCATATACAGAAGTGTGCAATATCACTGAAATATAAAACGGTTCACGAGTGAAATATTTCCACCACATAAAACATGAAATACACATAAGCACAAAAACAAACACACGCAGTTGTGGTCAGAAGCTCACACACGAGTCATCATGTGCATGGATGTCATTGAAATCATCTTTAATGACTTTACAAACATGAATTGTGTTCCCAAGTTTGAATTTATTTTGGATCTTCACTAATCCACACGATGTCAAAAATGTGCATAGAGCTTTTCAAATTTATACATTTGGTTAAATTTCCTTTATCGACCTGCAGCTGAACCAGACACGTTAGTAACTGACATTTCCAGCTGTAAATTTCTCCCCTCTTCTTGGCAGATTTGGTAGAGTTCATACCCATGATGTATGTAAACTTCTGACCACAACAAAACGATCAGCGACAAGTCAGAAAATCTGATTACTGAAACCAAAACAAGTCCTTTGATCTCCAGTTAGCCTGGATCCATTAACATGAGCATCAGAACGTACAGTTTATTTATTTATGGGTGTCTATCAGCAAAAGAACAGATGCATAAATAATCAGAAGTAGATCAAACCACAGTAGCTGTTCTCTAGCACGGTCTAGCTCTTGAAGAAAACACAGCCACGTGTTTTAGATGACGTTCACCACAACGAACAGGAAGTCTCTCTCCAGCACTAAACTGTTAGAAACATGAGAAGAAGCCTGATGCTTATTGGGAACAGATTTCTTAGTCAGATGACGGATGAATTTGTTTTCCCTAGATTTGTTCCAGCATGTTTAGCATGAGCTGGGCCAAGACCACCACAGTGAATACAGTCCCAGCAGTGAGGCAGGGAGG